GCACCAGGGAGACAGGAGAGGTCTACTGCACCATGTGTGTTGCTCCCTGGTTGGCTGTGGATTGAACTAGTGCTGTGGAGTGTGCAGATTGCTTCATAGTGCAGGTGTAAGCCTTTGCGCCACCAGGGAGGGCCCTCTCATTGTAGTTTTGATATGCAATTTCTGATTAACAGGTGATATTGAACATTTTTTTCATATGCCTGTTGGCCATTTGCATTTCCTCTTGGAGAAGTTTCTTTTTATCTCTTCTGCCCGTTTTTTGACTGGGCTATTCACTTTGTTTTTGTTGAGTCTTGTCAGCTCTTTGTAGATTTTTGTGATCATCATTTATCATTAGTGCTGTGTGCCAAAATTTTCTCTCAATTGGTGTGGGTGTCTCTTTGCTTTTACTGTCTCTTTTGCTGAAGCTCTGTAATTTGATGTAGTCCCAGCTGGTTATCTTTGCCTTCACTATCACTGCTTTGGGTGATGTGTCTGTAAAGATGTTACTGAGGTGGTCTCACTCATAGCAGGAAATCTAAGGGACCAGGAAAATGAATAACTATAAGAAAGTGTGAAAATCAAAATCAACAAAAAACTATGAACCAGAGACACTTTTTGGGGGGTGGGGGACGGGAGGGGGGATTGGGGTCAGAATGGGGGGTTGCAATTGTATGGGGAATATAAAAATAAAATTTATTATTTAAATAAATAAATAAATAATAAAGTCAGACAATTTTCAAAGCAAAAAAAAAAAAAAAAAAAGATGTTACTGAGGTGTATGTCATGTAGTGTTTCCTTCTATGTATTTTATGGTTTCAGGTCTTATGTCTAGTTCTTTAATCCATTTGGTTTTTGTGCATAGTATGAGGTAGTAGTCAAGCTTCATTCTTTTGCATGCTGCAACCCAGTTTTCCCAGCACCATTTATTGAACAAACTTTCTTTGTGGGGCCTCCCTGGTGGTGCAGGTGGTTGAGCACAGTGCCAATTCAATCCCTGCTGGCCACGGAGCAACCCACATGGTGTAGCAGACTTCTCCTGTCTTGCCCACTGCTCCCCTCAGCAATCTATTTCAGTCAGTCTGCCTGTTCTGTTCCCCACTCTGTCTCTGGTGAATCCTCTTACCCTCCTGCACATCTGGCCTGTACCCCAGTTCTTGTATAAATAAATAAATCTTTAATAAAAAAAAACTTTTTTTGCTCCATTGCATATTCTTTGCTCCTTTGTCAAAGATTAGTTGACCCTAGATCTGTGGGTTTATTACTGGATTTTCTGTTCAGTTCCATCGGTCCATGTGTCTGTTCTTGTTCCAATACCATGCAGTTTTGATTATTATGGCTTTGGTATAGTTTGAAGTCTGGGAGTGTGATACCTCCGTTCCCTTCTTTTTTTCAGGAGAGCTTTGTCTATTCAGGGTTTTTGGTGGATCCATATGAATTTCAATCAATATTTGTTCTATTTCTTTAAAGAATGTCATCAAAATTTTTATTGGAATAGCATTGAATCTGTAAATTGTTTTTGGTAAGATGGCCATTTTGGTCATGTTAATTTTTCCAATCCATGAGCAGGGGATGTCTTTCCATTTCTTTGTGTCTTCTTCTATTTCTTTTAACAGTGTTTTATATTTTCTTTGCATAGGTCTTTTACCTCTTGTTAGTTTATTCCAAGTATCTGATTTTTTTCATAATAAAAGGGATGTTTTCTTGATTTCTTCTTCTTCAGATTACTTGTGTATAGGGAGGCTACTGATTTTTGGGTGTTGATTTTGTATGCTGCTACTTTTCTAAACTGATTGATTAGTTTGATTAGTTTTTCTGTGGAGTTTTTTTGGGTTTCCCTATGTTTATTATCATATCATCTGAGAATGGTGATAGTTTTACTTCTTCCTTCCCTATTTGGATTCCTTGTATGCCTTTCTCTTGTCTTACTGCTCTAGCTAGGACTTCCAGTATTATATTGAAAAGCAGTGGTGAGAGTGGACATCCTTGTCTTGTTCCAGATTTTAATGGAAATTCTTTCAACTTTTCACCATTGAGAATGATATTGGCTATGGGCTTGTCATATATGGCCTTTATGATGTTGAGGTATGTTCCTTCTATCCTGAGAATTTCAAGGGCCTTTATTATAAATGGGTGTTGTTCTTTGTCCAAAGGCTTTCTTAGCATCTATTGATATTATCATATGGTTTTTATATTTCTTTTTGTTGATGTGTTGGATTGCATTGATTGATTTTCGGATTTTGAACCATCCTTGTGTCCCTGGAATAAATCCTACTTGGTGGTGGTAAATTATCTTATGGATACATTGTTGGATTCTGTTAGCTAAAGAAGACAAAACACTCATTAACATATACTCACCAAATGAAGGAGCACCAAAATATATCAGACAACTGTTACCATCTCTGAAAATAGACATCATAGAAAATACATATGTAGGGGCCTCACTGGTGGCGCAGCAGGTTGAGCACCATGCTATGAAGCTGTCCACAGCCTCTGCAGTGCGGGTTCGATTCCTGGCCTGCCAGGGAGAAACCCACATGGTGCAGCAGACTTCTCCTGCCTCACCCGCTGTTCCCCTCAGCAGTGTCTTTGGTCTGTCTGCCTGTTCTTCTCCCCACTCTGTCTCTGGTGAATTCTCTTACCCTTCCATGCCTCTGACCTATACCCCAATTCTTGTAAAAATAAATAAATCTTAAAAAAAAAGAAAAGAAAATACATATGTAGTGGGAGACTTCAACACACCACTATCAACAATGGATAGATCAATGAGACAAAAAATAAGTAAGGACACTAAAGCTCTAAATAAGGATCTAGAGCGCTTGGGCTTAACAGACATTTATAGAACACTAAAGCCAAAAAAATCTGAGTATACATTTTTCTCAAGCGCACATGGATCATTCTCCAGGATCGATCACATACTGGAACATCAGACAAACATCAACAGATACTCTAAGATTGAAATCATACCAACCATCTTCTCTGACCATAAAAACCATAAAAAGAAGGCAAGGAACCCTCCTACCTCATGGAGATTGAAACCCACACTACTGGAAGACCACTGGACTAATGAGGAGATCAAAGAAGAAATTAAAAAATACTTTGAGTTGAATGACAAGGAGGACACCAATTTCCTAAATGTATGGGATGCAGCAAAAGCAGTAATAAGAGGAAAATATATAGCAATACAGGCTCACATCAAGAAACAAGGAAGAGGGGCCTCCCTGGTGGTGCAAGGAGTTAAGCACCGCACTGTAAAGCAATCCACAGCCACTGCAGCATGAGTTCAATCCCTGGCCAGCCAGGGAGCAACCCACATGAGTTTACATATTCTTTGGGCAAATACCTAAGAGCAGTATTGCTGGATCATTTGGTATTTCCATTTTTAGGTCTTTTAGGAATCTCCATACCATTCTCCATGTAGATTGTATCAATTTACATTCCCAAAAACAGTAGATGAGAGTTCTTTTTTTCTTCACGTCCTCACCAATATTTGTTGTTTCCATGCTTTTTATTATGGGCCATTCTCACAGGGGTGAGGCGATACCTCATTGTGGTTCTGATTTGCATCTCCCTTATAGCAAAGGGACATTTTTCATGCGCCTCTGAGCCATCCTTATGTCCTGTTTGGAGAAGTGTCTATTTAGGTTGTTTTGCCCAGTTCTTTTTTTTTTTTTTAAATTAGGTTACTTTGTTGTTGAGTTGTATACATTATTTATTTTTGGAAATTAATCCCTTATCGGATGTGTGACATGCAAATGTCTTCTCCTAGTCCATATGTTGCCTTTCTGATTTTGTGGTTTCTTTTGTGATACAAATGCATTTAGTTTGACAAAGTCTCATTTCTTTATTTTTGCTTTAGTTTCCCTTGCCAGTAGAGGTGAGTCCCCAAATACATCTTAGCAGTTGATGTCCAGGGTTGTACTGCTTATGTTTCTTTGTGTCTATTTTATGGTTTCAGGCATTTTATCAGAGTCTTTAATTCACTTTGAATTAATGTGCATGCATGGAGTTAAATAATGATCTAATTTCATTTGTTTGTATGTGGCTGTCCAAGTTTCCCAGCACCATTTGTTGAATTTTCGTTATTTCATAATTTCACAATAAAATGTTGGAAGACAGAGGCAAGCAAATAAATGAGAATGAAAAATTACTTGTAAATCCAGCATTGCCCACCTTTAAGGATTGTTAACATTTAGCTCTATCTGCTCCTAGCTGTTTTTTCCTTTGTGTGTGCACGTGAGCATGTGTGTGGGCATATGTGAGGGCAGGGAGTGCACATGCATATCACACATCTTACACTCCAGCTCAAGTTTAAAGATGGAGTTACAGCATTTGCTCATGCCCTTTTGAACTTGGCAGTTTAGCATAACTTTCTAGGCAGTAAATATTTTCCTTCATACACACATGATGGGTGGAGAGTGCTATGTCCTGTGGATAAGCTATAATTAATCCACTATTGGTGCATTTAGGGTGTTTCAGTTTTTCTGCTGGGATCAGAACTTCTGTGGTGAAATCCCTACACTTACATCTTTTTGCC